CTGCGGCCAGCCCTGCCCGGGGGCGGCTGCCCGTCTGACCGGCTCCACCGCCAGCCCTGCTTCGTGCAGGCCTGCCCAGGTACGGCCCACGCCTGCCCAGGTACGGCCGAGCCCCGTCGCTGCCCGCCCCGGTGAGAGCCTGGGCGGTCCTGGCCGAGACGCCCGACCTTGGGACCCCTGTCCGGGCTCCTCTTAGCCTGGACACCCCGTCTGATGTCACAAGCTCGCCTGCCGAGCCTGTCAGGAAGCCTCGGCCTTTACCTGCGGGACGCCGGGTGGTCACTTGGGCCGGGGGAACTGGAGCAGCGGCCAGAGCGAGGGTGCCGAGGGCCTGTTGCACTGACCGGGGCTCGGTGCTGAGGGCGGGAGGGTGTGGCCCCGGGCCTGCCTCTGTGCCTCCTAGGGAGGGCCCCCCTTCCGGCCCCCCACCCGCGTCAGCCTGCGGCCACCCGGGCGCCCTGCTGCAGGAGCCAAGGGTCTCTGCCCTTTCCCAGGATGGTGCTTAATCCTGGGAGAACCAGGAGCTCCTGCCCAGGCCCGCTGCCCCTGCCCCCCGGCCCCACAGGGCAGCCTGTCTGGGACAGCAGGCTCCTCTGCCCTGCCTGCGGCCCGTGCCCTCTGGCACCTTTCCGGGGCTCTGCCTGGACCACCTGTTCTTCCTCCCCCAGTGGCTGGGGTCTGGGCTGTGTGGGAGGCCTGGGGGCCCTGCAGCGTCTCCTGTGGGGGTGGCCATCGGAGTCGCCGGAGGAGCTGTGTGGACCCCCCACCCAAGAATGGGGGTGCCCCCTGTCCTGGGGCCTCCCAAGAGGGGGCACCCTGCAGCTTGCAGCCCTGCGCAGGGGATGCAGGTAAGGGGCGCTGGGCCGGGAGGGCTGGGTGGGTGCTGGGCTGCCAGGCCGCCACCCACCGGGCCACCCCCCAGGCTGTGGGCCTGGCCTCGTGCACGTGGGCGCCGACCTGTGCCGGAAGGGGCTGGTGCCCCCCTGTCCGCCCTCCTGCCTGGACCCCACGGCCAACAGAAGCTGCAGCGGGCACTGTCTGGAGGGTGAGGCCGGCCCGCCGGTGGGCGGAGCCCTGGGGGGTGCTGCTGGGCCCCTGCCTGCGGCCCCCACGCCGGGCCTGAGTGCCCTCTCTGCCCCCAGGGTGCCGCTGCCCCCCGGGGCTCCTCCTGCACGGCGCCGGCTGCCTGCCGCTCTCAGAGTGCCCCTGCCTCGTGGGGGGGGAGCTGAAGCCTCCGGGGGTGCCCTTCCTCCTGGACAACTGCAGCCAGTGGTGAGCGTGGCGGAGCCCCCAGGGGGACGGTCCCCGCCGCCCTGAGCCTGACCCCCGGCCCGCACCCCACAGCCTGTGTGAGGAGGGGGAGCTGCTGTGTGAGCCCCGGGCCTGCGCTGTGCCCTGCGGCTGGTCCGCCTGGTCCTCCTGGGGCCCCTGCGACCGCTCCTGCGGCCCTGGACTGAGGGCCAGGTTCAGGTGCGGGGCGCACGGGGGTGTGCGGGAAGGGAGGCGGTGGGGGGCCAGAGCCAGCCGGGCTGGGCCACTGGGAGCCCTCTGTGCCCTTTGGGGAGACAGGCAGCGGCTGAAGGACAAGAAGGGGGAGTGGGGGGCAGGGAGAGGAGCAGGGGGACCCAGACTCCCCTCTCCCCAGGTCTCCCTCCAACCCTCCAGCTGCTTTTGGGGGTGCCCCTTGTGAAGGCGACAGGCAGGAGCTGCAGGCCTGCCACCGGGAGTGTGGGACAGGTATGGGAGGGACGGGCTGGGGAGGGACGGGCTCGGGGAGGGACGGGCTGGGGAGGGACGGGCATGCGGGGAGGGACGGGCTCGGGGAGGGACGGGCATGCGGGGATGGACGGGCTCGGGGAGGGACAGGCGTGCGGGGAGGGACAGGCGTGCGGGGACGGACGGGCTCGGGGAGGGACGGGCTCGGGGAGGGACGGGCATGCGGGGATGGACGGGCTCGGGGAGGGACAGGCGTGCGGGGAGGGACAGGCGTGCGGGGACGGACGGGCTCGCGGAGGGACGGGCTCGGGGAGGGACGGGCTCGGGGATGGGTGCCCTCAGGTGCCGTCACCGGCCGCTCCTGCGCCACCCGGGTCCTGTCCTAAAAGCCCAGCAGCATCCCGCTCGCTGGCCACTCTGCGTGGGTGGACAGCGAGGCCTCCGGGCCCAGCTCGCAGCCTGGCCCTGACCTTGAGGCGTGCGCTCTGGCCCGGAGAAAGCAGGGGCTGGTGCCTCAAGGTCCCACACAGCTGGCCCGGGCCCACGCAGGAGAGCCTGGCGCTGGGTGTCGGGGCTGGGGGGCAGTGCTGGGGGCCTCCTGCGCCCCGCCCTGCGGCCCGTGCAGCTGGCCTGCCCTTCCCTGCAGAGGCGCAGGGCTGGACGCCCTGGACGCCCTGGTCCGCCTGCTCCCGGAGCTGCCTGCCCCCCGGGGGGGACCCTGGGCTGCGCAGTCGCTCCCGGCTCTGCCCTGGCCCCGGGGGCGCGTCCTGCCCAGGAGAGGCCACCCAGGAGGAGCCCTGCGGCCCCGCTGTGTGCTCGGGTACGGACCCTCGGCCGGCGAGGCTGCGGCCGGCGGGTGGGGAGCCACGGAGAAGACCCTCGGGCAGGGTCTCGGGGTCCTGGCGGCGGTGTGGGGGGTGTGGGGAACTCGGGCAACCTTCCCCCGCACTCCCAGGAAGCCGGCTGGGTCAGCAGGTGGGGGTGAGCTCAGGCTCGGGGACAGCCCCGAGAAGCGGGTGTTGGGGCGGCCGGGGCCTCCCTGCCCCAGCTCTGCCCCCCCGCCCACCTCTGCGCCCACCCGGTGACGCTGGACTTGGCTCTTCCTGCCAGCGCCCAGCGCCTGGGGCCCGTGGGCCGCCTGGTCGGCCTGCTCGGCGCCCTGTGACGGAGGCGTTCAGACTCGCGGGCGCAGCTGCTCCGGCTCAGCTCCAGGGGACCCCGAGTGCCAGGGGCCCCACAGCCAGACCAGGGACTGCAACACGCAGGCCTGCACAGGTGCCGGGTGCCCCCCCCCGGAAGTGGCCGGGCCAGGCCCGAGCAGGGGGGCTGCCAGACCTCGTGGCTCTCCGGACCCCCGGGAGCCGCCGCCGGGCTCGCCTCTGAGCAGCTTGCCCTGTGTCCCGCCCAGCCCAGTGCCCGGAGGGCATGGTGCCCCGCTCGGAGGAGCAGTGCCGCCAGGAGGGGGGCCCGTGCCCCCGGCTGTGCCTGGCGCAGGGCCCCGGCGTGGAGTGCGTGGGCTCCTGCGCCCCCGGCTGCGCCTGCCCCCCCGGCCTCTTCCTGCACAACGCCAGCTGCCTGCCCCGCCATCAGTGCCCCTGCCAGCTGCGCGGCCGGCTGCACGCCCCGGGGGCCGTGGCCCAGCTGGACGCCTGCAACAACTGGTAGGCGGGGCGGGGTGGGCAAGGGGGCAGGCGTGGGCACCTCGGTGTGGCCCAGGTTGAGGGGAAACGGCTGAGGGGCTGCTGGCCGGGGCCTGTCCGCAGCAGCGGCCGCTGCCGTGGGGAAGCGAGGGGGGGAGGTGCTGAGGGAGGAATAGGCCTAAGGGCTCCGCCTCTCCCCGCCCCTTGCTCCCCTGAGCGGCCTCCCTGCCTGGGCGCCAAGCCTGACCCCCAACACCAGCTGAGCTGTGCCGGACAGCCCGCTGGGCTCGGTTTCTCCTCGTCCCTCCCGGCCCCGCCTCGGCCTTCTCCGTCCCCTCCCTGCCTCGCTGTCTCCTGCTCTTGCCCTTGGGTTCTTTTCTGGGGCTCCCGGGGATAGGACACCTGGGCTTCCAGCCTGCACGGGGGGCCCGCGCCCAGGCCCCCCCCCGCCTGTCCTGAGGGCGGCGGGCGGCTCCCAGTCACGGCCACACAGGGCGTAGTGACCACGAGCAAATAAAAACCTAGAAAGGTGACTCCTGCCACGGCCTGTGTGCCTGGGGCGCCGGAGGCTGGAAGCGGGGTGCCGGGGCCGGGCGAGAAGCCCGTCTTGTCCTGAGCTCGGCCGGGGGCACGGGGCCGCTCGACACCCAGACTGGGGGCTCTTCTGGGCGGCCGCTCCCTGCCAGGGGCGCTGCCCGAGTGACGCCCCGCCCGCAGCACCTGCGTCTCAGGGGAGATGGTGTGCACCTCGGAGCCCTGCCCAGGTACCCGCTTGCCAGCTGCGGTCCGCGGCGGTGTCGGGGGAGCCGGTCCCTTGGGGGAGCAACTCCTGGGCTGGGGCTGGTGTCCCGGGGAAGCTGGGGTCCGGGGTGACCCGAGCCCCCGGGCAGCCTACGACAGAGCCCCCCACCCCCCGGCAGTGGCCTGCGGCTGGAGCCCCTGGACCCCATGGAGTCCATGCAGCCGCAGCTGCAACGTGGGCGTCCGGCGGCGCTTCCGGGCAGGCACTGCACCCCCGGCTGCCTTTGGGGGTGCTGCGTGCCAGGGCCCCAACATGGAGGCTGAATTCTGCAGCCTGCAGCTTTGCCAAGGTGAGAGCTGAGGGAGGTCCTCAGACCCCTCAAAGGGGAGCCAAGGACATTCCCAGCACCCCAAGAGGGCTGCCCTAGGGATGCTAGGAGATGTGGGCCCAGAGAGCCCTAAGGGGGCCCTTGCTGGGGGTGGCCCTGCTCCTGGAAGAGTGGGGTCCCCTGAGGAGGGAGGTGATGCTGCAGGCTTGGGGGGGCACTGGGGTGTCTGGGGTGGAGGGGAGAAGTGTCTGGGGGGAGGAGGAGGAGCGTTGGGCGTGGGTGGCCTGACCCGGCCGCCGCAGGTCCCGGCGGGCAGTGGGGCCCCTGGTCTCCGTGTTCCGTGCCCTGCGGCGGCGGCTTCCGGAACCGCAGCCGAGGCGGCCTGCCCGGCCAGCTGGACTTCTCCGCCTGCGGCCTGCAGCCCTGTGCCGGTGAGGGCTGCCGGGACCCCCACCCAGCCTGGGGCGCTGCTGGCTCTCCCCAGCCCCCAGGGCTGCAGAGCTGCCGCCCACGCCCAGAGTGGACACCTCCAGGAGGGGTGAGGGGCGCCTGGGCCGGGCTGCCAACCTCTGTGCCCCCAGGGCCAGCGCCTGGGGTGTGTCCTGGCGACAAGCGGTGGCTGGACTGTGCCCAGAGCCCTGCCTCCTGCGCGGAGCTCAGCGCCCCGCAAGGGACCAACACCACGTGCCGCCCCGGCTGCTACTGCCTGCCTGGCACGCTCCTGCTGGTGAGTGTCCACTCCGGCTGGCCCCGGGCCCGGGGCCCCGGCACGGACAGGGCACCAGCCTGCTCTGCCAGCAGCCAGCAGGTGACCTGCGCGGGCCACGTCCTGGTCTTGTGAAGTGTGACCGGTCTAGAAGGCCGTGGTCGGCGCCTGCCTGCGCGCTCTCTCCTCCGTTTCTGGGCACCTGCTCTCTGCCCGGTCTTGGACTGGGCTACGCGGGCTCTGCCCTCAAGGAGCCTCCGGGCTGGGGAAACTCGACCCGGAGCCCCGAGAATGGAGACCGCACCACTGGATACACAGGTCTTGGGAACTTTGCATGCGCTGAGCTCGGTGCAGACCCTCTGTCTGGGGGAGGTCAGGCCTGGTGGGCTTCCTGGAGGAGGTGGCCATGACGGTACCGTCAGCGATTGGAGGGAATGGCCAGCAGGGTGGCAGCCACTCCAGGGAAGGGTGCTGGAGCTGGAACAGAAGCTGCGGGCTGGCGGGGCGGCTTGCTGCCCGGTGGCTGTGGTCGCCGGACAGGCTGGGGGTCTGTGGTCCAGTCAGACTCTCCCACTTACAACTCGCTGACGTGGGCTGCGTGCTCTTCCCTCTGGGCCGTAGTGACGAACCTTGTCGGGGAGCCCGGGGCAGAGCGCCCCCGGCCCGGCCCGAAGGGGCAGGCAGCCGCCCCGTGCTCCGGTGCCGGTTTAAGACTGGAGCCGCAGTGACGCCCCCGATCTCCCTGCGCGCGCGGCTTTGGCCTGGTTTTGCTGGTGGAACTCTGGGTTTTTTAAACTAAAGGAGCGTTGCCCGGCCCCGCTCTGTCAGCTTCGGGGGGCTGCAGCGTGGCATGTGGGGGGCGCGCTAGGCCCGCTGCCCGCGTCCACCGCTGCTTTCTTGCCTGTTGCGCCTGGACCGCACCGCTCACGCCCCGTCGGTCAACTTCACGGGCATCTGCACATTCACCGTGTCTTGCAGGCGAATTTGGTCTTTCCCAGAAAGTGGGGGTCCCGTGCCCCCTCCCAGTCCTGCAGCGGAGGGTGGGCGTGTCCAGCGGTAGGGCCGTGGCAGGGGCCACGCCTTGTTTGTGGAAGGGCCGTGGCAGGCCTTCGGTGGCATCTGAGGGTTGTGAGCCTGTGGAGGGTGCTGAGGGCCGACTGGGGAGCGGGCTGGCCAGAAGCCGGAGATGATGGGGGGCATTTGATTCCAGAACAACGTGTGTGTGCCCACCCAGGACTGCCCCTGCGCCCACGGGGGGCGCCTCTACCCCCCTGGGGGCACCGTGCTCCGTCCGTGTGAGAACTGGTGAGACACCCCCGGCCCACGGCAACGTCCCGTGAGCCCCCATATGTCCCTCCTCAGCTGGGGATTCTGGGCCCTTCTAGAGACACCCCTTTTCCAGAGGCTCCTGCACAAACCCCTCGCTGTGGTACCCCGCCAGTCTCTCGTCCCCCCGCCTGCGTCTTGGGGATCACCATAGCACAGCCCTCAGCTGGGGGTCTGGGGCAGC